CAGAAATCGTACAACTTCTCCTGCCTTTTCTGTACGAGTTGGACAAGCTTCTACCCAACCTGAGTAGGTACACACCAACAAGTAACAATATCCCCTAGATTTAGGCATTACAATGTAGTCTATTTGCAAATCTGACATTGGGAGTCCTCCCATATATTGAACTCCAGGGGGTTTGACAGGGCCTTGTCTTGCATTGTTTCGGGCACACAAAACACATCTTCGAACAATAGCTTGAGTAAGATTGGATAATCTTGGTATGTAGAAATGTTTCCTGAGAGATTCTTCCATACTATCTCTTCCTGAATGTGTACCTTTATGGAAGTTCTGAACAATCTCTATAGACAGAGATGTCGAAATAACTATTCTTCCACCTTCTAACTGATACCAATTATTTTCCAAGTATTTCCCAGCTTCAGTCTTCGACCACTCCATCTCTTGGGTTGTATATATTGGAGTCCATTGAGACAGAGGTGCCGGCACAAGGGCAGCAACATACCCCACATATTCCTCTTGCCTGGATTCAGCAGCATGTTTTGCTGCACTATCGGCCATGCGATTTCCTTTTACTACATCACTATCACCTTTCAGATGTGCCCTGCAATAGATAATACTGACTTGCTTCGGTTCCCATACCGCCTCTAACAGTTGGAGTATTTCTTCTGTATACTTCTTTCCCTTCTGAATTCAACAATCCCCTTTATTTATACAATGCTCCATGGGCATGGGTGGTTAGAAAAGTGTATTTTGAATCTGTGTAAATATTCACTCTCAACCCTTCAGCTAATTGCAAGGCCCTTGTTAATGCAATCAGTTACGCCTTCTGTGCTGATGGCCCTTTCGACAGTGGCCATGCTTCTATTACCTTGTCTATAGTTGTTACCGCATAACCTGCATAACGTATACCTTCTTTCACATAATTACTACCATCCGTAATAATAATACTGTATGTCCGGATTCTGGATGGGGAATTCTTGAAGATCAGGCCTGCTTGAAAACACTTCATCCATTATCTCCAAACAATCATGTTGACTTTCAGTAGTCTGGGGCAGAAGGGTAGCTGAATTCAAATTATTGACAGTTTAGAGGTGCACTCTTTTTCACATAACATAGCTTGATATTTGGTAATTCGACTGTTGCTAAACCAATGATTTCCTTTGTAATCCAATAGGGTCTGTACTGCATAAGGTACTCGCACATAGAGTTCCTGACCCAATGTGAGCTTGTCAGCTTCTGCTACCAACAGGGCAGCGGCGACCACTGCTCGCAGACAAGGTGGAAGACCACTGGCCACTGCATACAACTGTTTGGACATATAAGCTACAGGTCTTTGCCATGATCCCAAATACTGAGTTAATACTCCCACAGCCATTCTTCTTTGCTCATGTACATACAGATAGAAAGGACGCATGTGATCTGGTAGACCTAGGGCTGGGGCACTCATAAGTGCTTTTTTTTTTACATCCTCAAATGCCTTCTGTTGTTCAGAGGTCCACAAAAAGGGGTCATATTCTGTGCCTTCACAGCTTCATATAAAGGTTTCGCATAATTAGGAATCCATATCCTACAGAATCCTGCTGCTCCTAAGAATTCTCGCACTTATCTTCTATTCTTAGGTGTAGATATCCGACACACTGCTTCTTTTCTTTCAGGTCCCATTATTCTTTGACCTTCAGAAATATGGAATCCTAAATATTTAACAGTTGACTGGCACAATTGCACTTTCTTCCTTGATACCTTGTATCCTGCTCTCCATAGAAGGTGAAGCAAATCATAAGTTGCTTGTTGGCATATCTCTTTAGTAACAGCCGCATTCTCCTGGGATGGATTTTCATCAACGTGTGTTGGGCCTGGTGTAAGTCGAAGGGGCATTTGGTAATGTCGGGGTTGAAGGGTACCAGTCATCTGTCGGGTTAATATAGGACTTCGGCGAGGCTGTTTTATAATAAGTTCCGGTCTAGGGGTAGTAAGGTAAAGAGAATGAGGCGGGTTAATTTTACCGGGCGGAAGTTTAGTCAACAGGATGTTGCGGGCCGGGCTGGTAGGAGCCTGACCAGGGACCAGAAGTGACGTTAATTCCGGATATATAGAACTAGTGGAGTTAGGTACCGGAAGGGGAGGACTCCGGGCAAGTGGGCTGGGCTCTAAACTAGATGAATGAGTGGGCAGGGACAATTGGAAAGGGGGAGTGGCAACACCAGCAGCACCTCCTCTAACCTTAGAGGAGGAGTAAGGGGGTGGGGAGGGAAGTTCAGACTCAGGGAGAGAGAGTCTAAAAAGAGGGAGAGTCTAAAATGGGCAGAGTTGCGGCTTTGATGTACATTGCTCCTCGTGGCATACCTTAATCCATTTAGGCAATTCTTCCACAATCAATATACGGAAACTGATCATAGAATTCAGGCCTACTAGATAAAACCGCGTGCACACGTTGCACTAGAGTTAGATCAAGACTACCACGTGGAGGCCAGACGGTCACCAAGATAGGCCACTCTCTACTACATAATGTAGTCAAACGCTTTGGGGATAATTTCACCCCAAAATCACAAACTTTATATCCCTTTACAAAGTGTTTCAACATACACGACAAGGGATCAACAATCTTTGAGTCAGACGCACCCATACTGGCAACAGAGCGTCTAATACAAAGAAACACAATACCCCAAACACACTTCCAATGATCACACTTGTTTCCCTGGCAACAGCACCACGTGGCACAGTTGCTAGGCCAAACACACACACACAAAAACACGCAGAGAATTCTCGTACATACAGTGATATCACAACGTCTCACTCACAAAGATTTACCAAACACTAGATACTTATCTCTGTAACTTTAAATCAAACCCTACAATTATCCACATTATAAATCAACTTTTAACTAACCGACTATATCACATTCTAGTAACCTCATCTTTACAATCAGTGGTTATGGTACGGTTAGCAAGTGGTTATAATACAGTTTTAAAGTCACAGATCAGTTAGTAACAGATATGGTGTTACACATAACATAAGACAACAGTTTTTAGTAATTTTTACACAACGTCAGTAGTTATAGTACATGTTAATGGTTATAATACCGTGCGCTATTATACAGTATACACACAATTTACACTCCCACTAGATGGCAGAGCTCAAGCTTTCTAGCAGGACATACAATTCACCAACTACAGTATATTTAACAACAGTTACAATAATCCCAACTATTCTAATTGGCCAGCACCTCGAGAACTATCAAACTATTTACACCAGGATTCGGTTAGTCTACGCTGCCCAAGCACAACATATAGCGAACTAGTGGGTGGAATTTACAACAGTACCCATTTAGTCTATATACTCCATCAGTAGTCTAGTGGCTGAATTTACAACCGGGCACACTTAGCCAAGATAGGTTGAGAACTAGCAGACAGAATGTACACCGGAATCTGCTTAGTCTCGCCAGCCTCCCCGACCTAGCGACCAAAATTTACACCTAGACACGCTAGTCAAGACAGGACACCGGTGTCTGGCATAAACTATCTACACCAAGATTTAGCCTGACCCAAACCACCTATATTAGACGGGCTGACTACAGAGCGTCTAATTTCCAGATAAGTGGTGCGCCTTCGTTTCTTCCCTCCAGAGGGAGGGGGCAACCCAATAACCAGTTACAAATATAAAACCCCTTGTGGGCCTACCACTCTAACGGTATTAGTCTTACCTCTTCGTTCCTGAACCTGGGCTTACAATCATCGACGTGGCACCCGGTACTTACTATGTAAAGGCCGATGATCTCCTGGGCGAAGCAGCCCAGTGGCGCCGAGATGAAGGGATGTCCACGCAGAAGTTCAGGGGTGCTGCTGTAGAGAACATTGGTAAAAAGGTTTACCATCTCAAATCTCTGCGCCAGCTTCCGTGCAATGAGGTTCCCGGCCAATGCACCAAAGATGTAACCGAGTAAACTTGCAGAAGCCAGACACAGAGAGATGGATGCAGGTTTTCAGGAAGTAAGAGGTCTTTATTAACATACCGATCGGGCCTCAGATGAACTAACGTTCCAAAACAGGTCTGAGGGGCGAACACATGGAGTACATGCTTTTTAAAGAACTATAACTCCTCCCATTAATAGCTCCACCAGCACATACCCTTAACCAATCAGTGGACAGGATTTGGTTTTCCCTTATATGGGCAGACCACATCGCTCATCCGAAACAAATGAGAAAGGAGTGTGATTTCAGTTCCTGCATTCCTAGACATGCTCAGTACATTGATGACAGTATCTTAGCTACGTGTAACTAACTAACTGATACAACATACACATATGCCACGTGGAAATCTCGGCCTACTAAATTTACTTTTCACCGAAATTCCATCACAATATAAGTGCTACACCCCATACCCGGTTTGTTTAGCTTAGTGGAGCTAAACTCAAGAGGCAGATAATTGCTCAGAGCACCTGCCTTACAAAAACTTCTCATTGAGCTGCATTAGAAAGTCTGGTTTGGGCAAGGAGGAGAGGGCTTGGAAAGGCAGCGGATTTTTTAAATCTGGTTTTGTATTTGCCACAAATTAAAAAACACGTAATTAATATATATAATATACATAAACTAAACAGTGATTTTTATATATTTTATATTCTGTATGTTAATCATTTTTTGCCCTATATGTTGTATTTATGCTGCTCTTTTTATGGTAGGGTAGTGAGCCTACGAGTAAATAGATTTAAGGCACAAGTCTGTGCCAAGAGTTTATTTTTATATTGTGCAGTAATGGCATTTATGCATATTTAATGTATTAAATATGCACAGACACGGGTGGCACTTGAAAAAGGCGAGTAAAATCACCTTTTATCTTGCTGACAGGGGGGCTGGGGACCTCCATGGCACTATTAGAACTATAGTGTCAGGAATACACGTTACACAAAAACACTGTAGTGTTTTTATATTCACTTTGAATTTTCCTGGCAATTTTTCTGAGGGACAAAGACTTTCATCTCGAATTTACTATCTGAAATATCTTTTTCCAGATTACCTGTTGTTCATGATGATTCTGCAGATATGACAGCAGGTTTAAGGCAAAGGAGAAAGTCAGAAGATAATGAAAATATAAATTTGGAGGCTGCTCTTAGGAAATACAGATTAAATTTAAAATCTTCAAAAGGACACAAAACAGATGATGTATCATCAAAGAGTAAGTGTGGTATTTATTCTATTCTCTTTGAAGTAGAGATAACAGCTGAATCAACTTAAGGACCGAATATGTACCTTTTTATTGACACATTTAAATGTTTATCTCTGTGTCCTTTTCTCCCTTTTTCCTTATTATCCTGTTGTACCTATTCCTTTAACCATATCACAGAATTCTGAGGTGCCTCTTGCACTGGACATTGCTGTTATAAAAAATGTAAACAAAACATATTCAGATTTGACAACAACATGTGTATAAATGGAGAGGTTAATGGCAGAGTTAGGTTATACAGGATGTTTAATGTTTAGAGCAGGCTTCCTCAAACTCTGGCCCTCCAGATGTTGCTGAACTACAACTCCCATGATTCTATGAATAAAATAGATAGGCTGAGAATCATGGGAGTTGCAGTTCACCTACAGCTGATGGGCCAGAGTTTGGGGAAGCCTGGTTTAGAGGATTAGAAGCTTGAGTGGGGTTACAGTTGTGGTATAAAGGGTGTTTAGTATTATTGGGTTTATGGTTGAAGTGAGGTTAAATTTAGTGTTGGTGTACATGGTGTGTTCAGTTTTTAAGAGAAATTAAACCAAGGATTAAGGTGAAGAGCTTTGTTTCATGTTTAGAATTTGAGGGCTTAAAGGAACATTAAGGTCACCAAAACTGCTTGTGTGTATAGATCATGACTCTGAAATTGCACTGCTCAATTCACTGCCATTTAGGAGTTAAATCGATTTTGTTTCTGTTTTTGCTGCCCTAGCCACACCACACCTGACTGTGACTGACAGCCTGCATGAAAACAAAATGGTTTAATTTTCAATCAGATGTAACCGACTTTACAAGTTTTCATGTCCTGCTCTGTATACTGAACTTTAATTACATACAGGAGGCTCATGCAGGGTCTAGCAAGCTATTAACAGATCAGGAGATAAAAAAGTCTACATTGAACAAAATTTGCAATAAAAGAAATGTAAACATTAGATGAATCATTACATGAAGTGTTTAGGAAGGCTGTGCAAGTCACATGCAGATAGGTATGCCTAGGGCTGCATGGACAAGGTGATTTTAGTCTTTAATGGCAGAGAATTGAGCAGTGAGAGCGGTTAAATTTAGGTATAGGGTGTTTAGGGTATAGACATGTGGAATTTGAAGGGATATATGAGAAGGGGAAATAAAGATTAAAGCACAATTTCCACTGCAGCTGGGTGTATTCCTGAGCTGGTTGTATTACTGATGTGACTGCTAGGGGGGGAAAGTGTAAAAAAACAGTAGAACCCTAGGGTAAGATCTCCCCCGGAGAGCACGCAGTGGAAAGGTGAGCCAGTGGTGGTTATTGCTCATCTCCATGCGGCAAGTGGGGATTAAGTGCCTCTACTTGCTTAACCTATGCCTATTGATGGCGGACTGACACCCCTGGGGATCATAATACCACCTCTCTGCAGGTGAGCGCCGTACCAGTCCCAAGCTCTTGTGTGCTCTTGTTCAGCGCTGGCTGAAAGGCCATCTAGTCCAGTTGCTGGGACTTGGTCTCTGGGCCTTCTCTGTGCTCCGAATCTGTGTTGCCATGTGTGTGTTCTCCGGCGGAGGGGTCCGCGAGTATGTAGTCGGCTCCCATCTGAGCGTCGTGCATAGAAGCTGCGGCAAGGTTGTAAGGTGAGTGGTCGGTGTTGGCATGCTGCTTTTCGGTTCGGTGTCGGGAGAGTCCGCCGGCGGGCCCGTCGGCAAGATGGGCGCAACTCCGCGTGGGCACTGGATCGGTGAATTGCCGCTTCAGCCTCCTTCACCTTCATAGCAGGTAGGTCAGAATGGGTGGCTTTATGCTCCATGCGCTTCCAGAATTCCTGGCAGATTCGATCAAAGCGGGCTTCAAAGTGCTCTCTCCAGGTCTGGATCTCAGGGCTTGCTTGAGACTGCAGAGATTGCTGCTCGGCGGCCATTTTGGGCCCGAGCCGCGGTCTCCCCTCCAGCAGATCAGTCCCTTGTGGTGAGTTTGTGGGATTCCCCAGTGGGGACCGGGATAACCCCCACCGGTCCAGAGGGGGGGGATGCGGGATGCCAGGTGAGCTGCTGCTTGTAGCGGTCCCCAGGGCGGGGGATCGGCCGCCTCTCCCAACCATGAGGCTGCTGTCCTTGCTAGGCCGCATTTGTGGAGTGTGGTATTTCTAGAAAAAAGTTCACAAAACAGATGTCCACGAGCCTCCACGCAGTCTAGTGATGATTTTTTGTTGAGCAGGACTGCTAAATTCAAGGTTTTGGCCAGTAATAGCCAATTTAAATCTCGTTTGTGTCAGAGCTCTCTGCATGCACGTCCAGCTAGCTCTGCTGTCAGGCCCCGCCCCCTTTGTACCCTCACCTTTATGACAAAAAATATTGGGGCTCTGTAATTGTTTGAGTAACCTTTCTGAAATCAGTATAAACCGAATAAATTGCAATATGTTTCAAAAAAATAAATTACAAAATAAAAAAAACATGTTTTTCCTTTAAAAATCATCACATTTGGGGGTGAAGCCAAGCATCCGATCTGAACGGTCACATCTCCACTGAGCTCCGTGAAACTAGGCCTGAATTGCGTGAAAAACCTAACAAAAACCCACATAACTCAACACCGCTGGGACCCCCGACCAACCCACACTGAAATGGGACGCAAAACTAAAAAACAGAAGGCTGACAAACCAAATCTGGGCATGAATATTGGAGATTTGTGGTGGCAGGCGCATGGCTCTTCACAAGCCAAGATGACGTCCTACCCCGACGAAAGCTCCGACTTCTCGGACGATCTCACCCTGGGGTCCCAGGAACTCCTCATGCCTAACCTGCAAAGGCCAATAGAGACACTGGCACCAACCTCGTCCAAAAGGACTTGTCACCGGTAACCAGAGCCGACATGCAAGAGTTACTGGCGGGCCTCAGACGGGACATTTATTCGGACGTTACTGCACTCTGCACCGTTCTCCAGGGCCCAACAGGCCGCGTGGGGGCTCTGGAAATAGACTCCCAGAACACCAAATGGCAAATAACTCACCTGCAAACGGAGCTGCGGTCACTACGAAAACAACATGTGGCCCTGGAGCAGAGGTTCACATCCATGGAGGACGCCAGAAGAATCAAAAACCTAAAGATCAGAAGGTTGGTGGAGGCAGTGCCGGACGCAGAATTACCACATTTTGTTAGACGCCTACTGGGCATGATATTGCCCCCCAAAGAGGCAAAAATTATGACAATCGAAATCATGTTCAGGATTACTAAAACCTATAAAAGCTCCTGTCGTGGCTCCCAGGGATCTGATCATATGCTTCCAGACTAGACAAGACAAAGCCGCGGTGATGAACTCCCTACGGGGACAAGCACCCTACCAGTTTGAAAACTCCTCACTCACCTTCTTTGCAGATCTATCTGGGAACACCCTGGCGTGGCGAAAATCCCTCCAGCCTCTCACAACGCTGCTCCGCTCACACAGCATCGCCTACCGGTGGCAGGCAACCCATACCCTGATGATCTTCCACGAGGAATCCTCATACCCGATCCACAATCTAGAAGAAGCGGCAACAATCCTGGGGAACATGGCCACCAAACTCACACGCCAATGCCACGAATAAACCGGCGAACGCATTCCCCAACTGGGACCCAGGAGAACGCAACCACCTGCATACCCAGAAGGCCCCCAGCAACCACATACGCCACGGTCACAACATGAGGGCACAGCAAAGAGAAGAGACCGCAATTCACCCTTTGCGACGGACTGATCACACCCCAATAGTGGCCAATACGCGGTCAGGACAGTCCGAGAGAAGCCACATGAATCAGACCGAGCTATGCTCAACACCATTAGCACCATACCATCTGGCTAAGACTTCTGTTTATATGTTCCTATTTCTGCTTATATTTTACCACTTCTGTCTTTACGGATCACTGGGGCACTCAATGACGTGACAAAGGCCACCGGAGAGCGGTGACTAGAGACAGGTAGAACGGACACAAGCCAACACTCCGACAAGTTCCCCAGATGGGCCAACCCCACCAGCGGGAGAGCACATATCAGAATATGTGCTCCCTACCCCAGAGCAGGCAGCACCAGCATACCCCGACTGGCATCCTCGCATTGTCCTACCCCAACCCCACACCCCACGCCTCAAGGAGCTCTAAGGGCAATGACATACCTCCCAACGACCTTATAACACACCCTTGGGCCAACACTAGGGTCATCAGGCCGACTGCCAGAAATGGCCACAACAACAGAGCCCCGATCTACATCTACTGCCACACACCAAAAGCCCCCAAGCCCCTTAGGAGACTTACCAGCCCGATGTGAGTCAAAGGGCGGACACACGACATGAGCTAACATGGGGGGACATAACACACCCCGCGGCAAACAACTCCACTCACGACTTCCCCACCGGGGGAACCACACGAAATTGCCATGCCCCGTACGCGGACTAATAGACGTAAAGGGGCAAACACAATACTCACCCGCATAACCGTAGAAGGGACTTATTCACCCCAGCTACACAGGGCCAAAAGGGGGTCACTCAACTACAGAATCGACTGGACTAACAGTTGACCCAGCTACACTTAGACAAATACAGACAACTGACAACCCAAATAAAGACTGACAGACAACCTAAATATACTCACATTCGAAAAGACGAATATGGATCTATATAACTAACACAATGCTACTGCTTATAATGCTTTAAAAACAAAAAAGTGCACTGTTATGCATACCTGACTATTGTTACAATATATTACATGTTGAATGAAACACAAACAAATGCTGCTGGGGCAATGCTAGCGACTATGTAAATTAAATATTTGCACCAAAAAAATTAAGAAGAAGAATAAAAAAATAAACATCACATTCAGGTTAATCCAGCCATTCTGTTGATGAATTCCTCAAAATAGGCAAAGACTATATCTATTTTAAATAATGAACTATATAGGTTGAACATTTTTATGTAATTAGAGCTTGAACAAACAAGCAGGCTACAATTTTCTCATATAATTTACATTAAATACTATATTTTGCTGTTTTTTTAATAGATAGAAGGAGATCGCTAGGAGCTGTTAAACATGAAAAAATCTCGAGTGCTCTGTCTACAAAACCAGAAAAGAAATGTCTCAGTCTGGCCATGAGCTTGAAGCCTTTCCTTGCTGGTAATTGCACAATTTGATGACATACATATATGTTATAAATTTAACCTGAATATATTTGCCAGTGGGCAATTTAAAGATGTTAAATGTATCTTTTAAATATAAGGTTTTGGAACCTAATGGAGAAGAATATACCCTATACCATGGGTCCTCAAACTCCGGCCCCCCAGATGTTGCTTAACGACAACTCCCATGATTCTTTGAATTACATAGATAGCCAGAGAATCATGGGAGTTGTAGTTCAGCAACATCTGGGGAGCCGGAGTTTGAGGACCCATGCCTTATACTATAAGATGCATAATATTGATTAAGTATTAATGCATAATAATGTATGTACTAATAATAATACAATGTTGATGTCTTGTACATTTTATGTAACATAAACTGATACTTTAGTACCTTGGGCATAATTCTAGTTTACTGTCTATTTAAACATTTTTTATTAAACTGAAACTCTGTCACGGGAGTCATATCCCAACACGCAGGAAAGAGGAAAAACGCAAAAGGTGGATTCGAAAGACGTATTACCGAGCCTTAGAATGGCCAAAGTTAACGTGTCAATACAACCATACAACAAGAAACAGGGTCAAGATAAATCAAGGTCAGGATTACAGCAATACTCTGAGTCAAATACAAAGCCTGGGTCAGGATAATAGAAATCACAAGTCAAATACAAAGCCGGGGTCAGGATACCAGAAATCACAAGTTAAATACGAAGCCAGGGTCAGGTTACCAGAAATCACAAGTCAAATACAAAGCTGTGGTCAGGATACCAGAAATGAAGAGTCAAACGAGGTTCTAAACAGAAACCACAATAGGGCAAAGAATGGTGGTTAAAACAAGCCTTAAACAGGCTCAAAAGAGTTCCCATTGGATAGCTGCAACCTCATACTCCTCAACCGATACAGGAGTGCAAGGTCCAGTAAACCGATTACAGATCATAGGTTACAACAGGGAGGTATGGAAGGCATCAGGCAAATGCATGGAATGAGGTAATTCTAGGGCGATACAGGATTCATTTTGCACAAGATGCAGAAAGGACCAATGAAACTAGGACCGAACTTCATGCAGGGCACACAGAGACAGACTTTTTGGGTAGAAAGTCAAACCCTATCCTCGACCACATAGGAAGGAGCCACACGGTGATGCCTATCCGCCTGTGCTTTCTGTCTCTTTAGGCAGTAATTGTTGATAATCAAGAAAAAAAAAATAATATATAATAAAATATAATAAAAATAAAATATAATAATAAAATAATATAATTGTTGAACCTGCTCCCACATAAACCAGCCATATGCACATCCAGAGCGGGCATTCCCTGTGAGGAGAATGCAGTTGGGAGAACAGGATGCCGGCTATAGACTACGTAAAAAAGTCTTGACCCAGAGGATTCGTGAGCAGCGTTATTGCGAGCAACCTCAGCCCAAGCAAGCAGGTCAACCCAATTATCTTGGTGAAGAGAAACATAACGTAGATAATGCTCAAGAGATTAATAGGCACGTTCGGCAGATCAATTAGTCTGAGGATGGTAGGCGGAGGAAAAGGACAACTCAATACCCATCTTCGAGCAGAAGGCCCTCCAGAAGGGAGAAACAAATTGACTACGTGTGTCTGTTATAATTTGTTCTGGTATGCCATGTAGATGGAATACCTCCCTGGAGAAAACCCTAGCTAATTCAGCAGAGAAGGGGAGTTTCCTCAGGGGTATGAAATGTGCCATCTTAGAAAACCTATCTACGACCATAAGTATGACAGTATATCCATAAGCAGGGGGTAGTTCTACTATAAAATCGATAGATAAGTTGGACCAGGGTTTAGTGGGTATGGGTAAAGGTTGGATCAATCCACATGGTACCCTGTGAATGGTCTTGTTAGTTGCACATTTGTCACAAGAAAGCACAAAGTCTTTAATATCCCTCTTTAGAGAAGACCACCAGAAGTCTCAAGCTACAAGGTTAGTGGTCTTGGTTATTCCAGGGTGCTCGGCAGGTTTGCTATCATGACATAAAGACTAGGGATGTGCATGGGCAAACATTTGGTTCGGCACTTCCAAAATTCGCGACTTAGGCAATTCCCTAACCCTACCCACCACACCCACTTACACATCTAGGGTTAGGGATAGGTGAAGGGTTAGATTCCTGCCATCATTCCCGTAATTTTCCCTACCTGTCTTGTTTTGTTACTTTTCAGAAATCCGAAGCACTTCGGCAGTTCCAAAATTCGGCACTTTGGCAATTTGGTTCGGTTCGGCACTTCAGAAATTCGGCAACTCGGCAGAATTTACATTCGGAACGAAACAAATTGCACATGTCTAAAAAAGACATAACTACATGTCTGACAATAGGGGTAACAAACAATTCATCATTAGGCTTGCATTCAGGGGAATCAGATTTGGTAGATATAACGCGACTTAACAGCGAAGAGGATACAGAAAGAACTGTTGTAGCTACGATTCTTTCCGGGGGAATGATGTAACATTCCTCTGGTCTGTCCTCGTCACTCACATCGACCTGCCTGGACAAAGCATTGGCTTTGGCATTGCGTGGTCCAGATCTATAAATAATAAAAAAATGTAATCTGGACAGGTAGAGAGACCATCTTGCCTGCCTGGAATTCAACCGTTTAGCCTTTCTGAGGTACAGAAGGTTCTTATGATCCGTTAGCAGTATGATGTGATCTTTCGAACCTCCTAGGACAGTGGTTCCCAACCCAGTTCTCAAGTACCCCCTAACAGTCCAGGATTTAGGGATTACCCAATGTGTCAAAGGTGTTTTTAGAAAAAAACAAAACAAAGACACTTTAGACACAATAGGGGTAATCCCTAAATCCTGGACTGCTAGAGGGTACTTGAGGACTGGATTAGGAACCCCTGTTCTAGGAGGTGTCACCACTCCTACAAGGCTACGATAATGGCCATTAGTTCTCTATTGCCAATTGTCAGGATACCAGAAATCACGAGTCAAATACGAAGCTGAGGTCAAATACAGGAAGTCACAATGAAATCACTAGGAGCACTAAATGAGGATCAAAACAGAAACCACAATAGGGCAGAGAATGGAGGCTAAAGCAAGCCTTAAATAGGTTCAAAAAAGTTCCCATTGGTCCACGTCATCTCTGCGAGCCCAAACAACATTGGGTCACCTAGATGACATTGTCCCTTTAAGGTAATGTCACTTTACATTTTATTTTTAGAGGTTGCAGTTCATCCCTCAAACTAGCAGAGGAAGCCATTCGCGGGACCGAAGGTAAGCATTCTATTCATGTAGCCATGTGGAGAATTTGAGCAGCGTGGACTGAGGCAATGCGGCCACGCCGTGCGTTCTGCCTGAGGAGAGGAGCGGCGCGGGCGCCAGTTAAAGGTAAGTTTGTGACAAACTCCCTTTTAGGGGGACACAAATGTATTTATTTATAAAATATTTTACCAGGGAGGATACATTGAGCTTTCTCTAATTTTCAAGCATGTCCGGGGTCCACAAAATGTTGCATCGTTACAATAGGGTACAATAAAATGCAAAACCAATATTAACACACAACATATATACAGAATTTAACATAGAACAGGTAATAAATATACAGTCAACCATGACGTGCATTCTGTGCAAATGCCATTTATAAATATTAATTTCTAACAGAAGAAAATGAGATTTATAATCAGTAATTTAGGATGTGGCAGTAAATCCCGTGGTCCTGTGAAGGACCACAAAAAGCACCATCAATAAAATATGGTACAACAATAGTGTTCCAGGACGAATGTAGAGGAGGCCCCAGTCCTACTTAATATGATGAAACGGATCCTGCAGATATCTATTGTGACATTGTCCATTAACACATTAACTGATCCATTTTAATATTTGATTATGTTTGAGGTTATTAGCTAAACCATGTTTTGAGTAGGTGTAAGTGTGGAATTTATACTATTCTCTTTGAAGTAGAGAGAACAGCTGAATCAACTTAAGGACCAAATATGTAAAAAAATGTCTTTTTTTTATCAACACACTAGTTGCATGATTACATTTACTAAATTGTAACATCATACATTGACTGAAAGTTGCAAAGAAAGTTTTTCTTTGTTTTTTCCCATATAGGAGAACTATGCATGACAGAACGATTGCATGATACATCGGATAAAGTGTTAGATGGCTATATAACTCTCGTAACAGATGCACCATTGCTGTCAGAGGAGCAGAAACGAGAATTGAATCCATTGGTCATTCGCATCCTTTCTGCCACATCCCTTCCTACAAAACCTACCCCAATTCACATCTTACAGGTAATAAAAATGTATCCCACATTGTGATACATGTTTTTATTTGAATAACAGGTAAAGCATGAATGGATAGACTGGTGTATTACTATATAAGTATTAATATTAACCAAATAATAAGGTCAAAGCTAGACAGAAAAAAGTAAATAGGAACAGTGTTGCTCCCCCTTTCCTTCTGAGAAGCCCACAAATATGTAAATTGTATTTTTTTTTATTTTTTTTTATATACAAAAGGGCTCTGCCTTGAGGAAACAAAAGAGTAACTCCAAGGGTTACTCAAACATATTCAACCTTCCTAGGGAGCTTTCCAAATTAGTCAACACTATGCAAAAAGCCTTCCTTTAGTCATACTCTCTTTTTTTTTTTTCAGGGGTTGAGAGAGTCAGGCTATTACGGTAGTCTGCATGCTTGAAAGGAGCTCAACATGCATTCCCAGGGTTAGAGAAAAAATAAATAAGGTTCATCAATTTTCAGTCATACTTTTACCACTATTTTCTTCCAAAACTTCAGATGTATTGAGCTTGACAAGGAATGGTTCAAGACATTCAATGCTATTTGACTAAATACATTGGAAAAACTCTGCCTCCTGACAAAGATACTATATTGGATGGACACCTGATGGTAGATGAGCTTATCCTGGTGGTTAAAACATCCAAAATAGACAAGTGTCTGCTCCGAAATGGTTTTATAATTTACTAGAAAGCTTTTACAGCCCCATTCTATCAACAATTTCTTCAGTCCTTTAACTCCATCCCTGGTGGACAAACATACTTTTGCCACTAATATCAACCTCATAGAAACATAGAATGTGACGGCAGATAAGAACCATTCGGCCCATCTAGTCCAGTCTGCCCAATTTTCTAAATACTTTCATTAGTCCCTGGCCTTATCTTATAGATAGGATAGCCTTATGCCTATCCCACGCATGCTTAACCCCTTTAGGACACATGACATGTGTGACATGTCATGATTCCCTTTTATTCCAGAAGTTTGGTCCTTAAGGGGTTAAACTCCTTAACTGTGTTAATCTCTACCACTTCAGCTGGAAGGCTATTCCATGCATCCACTACCCTCTCAGTAAAGGAATACTTCCTGATATTATTTTTAAATGTTCTCCCCTCTAATTTAAGAGATGTCCTCTTGTTGTGGTAGTTTTTCTTCTTTTAAATATAGTCCCCTCCTTTACTGTGTTGATACCCTTTATGTATTTAAATGTTTCTATCATACCCCTCCCCCCGTCTTGTCTTTTCTCCAAACTATACATGTTAAGTTCCTCTAACCTTTCCTTGTAAATTTTATCCTGCAATCCATGAACCAGTTTAGTAGCCCTTCTCTGAACTCTCTCTAAATATCCTTCTGGAGATACGGTCTCCAGTAATGCGTACAATACTCCAAGTGATGTCTCACCAGTGTTCTGTACAGTGGAATGAGCACTTCCATCTTTCTACTGCTAATACCTCTCTCTATACAACCAAGCATTCTGCTAGCATTTCCTGCTTCTCTGTTACATTGTTTGCCTACCTTTAAGTCCTCAGAAATAATCACCCTTAAATGCTTTTCCTCAGATGTTGAGGTTAGGACTCTATCAAGTATTATGCACTCTGCCTGTTGGTTTTTACTTCCAAGATGCATTATCTTGCACTTATCCACATAAACTGTCAGTTGCCACAACTCTGACCATTTTTCTAGTTTACCTAAATCATTTGCCATTTGGCTTATCCCTCCTGGAACATCAACCCTGTTACATATCTTAGTATCATCGATAAAAAGACATAACTAACCATCAAGACCTTCTGCAATATCACTAATAAAAATATTAAAGAGAATGGGTCCAAGTACAGATCCCTGAGTTACCCCACTGGTGACAAGACCATGACTACTCCATTGACTACAATCCTCTGTTGCCTGTCACTCAGCCACGGCCTTACCCATTAAACAATATTGGAATCCAAACTTAAAGATTACAGTTTATTGACAAGCCTTCTATGTGCAACAGTGTCAAAAGCTTTACTGAAATCTCGGTAAGCAATGTCTACTGCACCACCCTGATCTATTATTTTCGTTACCCAATCAAAAAAATCAGTACGATTAGTTTGGCATGATCTCCCTGAAGTAAACCCATGTTGTCTCTGATCTTGAAATCCATGTGATTTTAGATGTTCAACAATCCTATCCTTTAACATGGCTTCCGTTACTTTCCCCACTACTGAAGTAAGGCTTACTGGCCTATAGTTGCCTGACTCTTCCCTACTACTTTCTTGTGAATGGGCACAACATTTGCTAACTTCCAATCTTCTGGGACTACTCCTGTTAACAAAGATTGGTTAAATAAATCTGTTAATGTTTTTTCTAGTACACCACTAAGCTCTTTTAATAACTTAGGGGGGAATTCCATCAGGTCCCATTGACTTATTTGTCTTTACTTCCTCTGTAACCTCTCATGTAACAAATAACTTGTTTGTCCTTTTTCATAACTGATGCCCCTTTCTTTCCTTCATTTTTTTTATTTTTTATAATTCTTTATTTTGAGGATTTTGTTTTATGGGGTACGGGATACAGAAAAAGAGAGGGGGGCACAGTGATCGGTTCAGTTGTCGTATAACATATATATACTTTTTGTGGTTCACATACATATCACAAAGGTGTGCAGGCGATTCGATGGTGAAGGCAGCATGCGTTGCCGTGCTAAAATACAATAAATTCTACATTCATAACCATCTTCCGTCTTTCATATTTGTTTGGTCTTGGGGTTAGTGTGGGGGTACAAAAAGGAAAGAGGAGGGGATTAGGGAAATCTAACGTGAGCGCTGATCGTCAGGTGTTTTTCTGTTTAAGAGTTTCACACATATGAGTGAGATTACTGTTGTAGCTTTATGGCTGTTGTTTGTTTTCTAGTAGTTCTCTGTGGGATGTTCCTCACGATGTTCCATGAGGTATGGTATGCTTGTGGTTTGTCATCTGTTAGTGTAGGGTGGATGTTGTGGGTTACATTTGGGAGAGGGTGGGTGAGTTTCAGGTTTTTAGTTCCTTCCAAGGGGTTGATATTTGGTCTTCCAGCGTCCACGTTGCGTCTGAGTGGGTTAGTGAGTGTTAGTTGTCTTCAGTTGGGTAGGTGTGGTCGTTTGGTGTCTTTCCCTGGGGGAGGAACCGTATGAATTTGGTATTTGCCGGTGGTGGGATGGGTTATGTCTGATGTGTGATCCAGTGTAGGGTACGTATGGCTTTCGTGGCAGTAGTAGGGTTGGTGCAGGAGTGTCAAGTGTGGAGGGGGGGTTGTTGGTTGGGTAATCATTTGTCAGGTCTTATTGGGCGTGGGTTAGGTGGTGTATAAGCCATGGGTCCCAGATTTTGTTGTGTTGGTGGGTTGTGCCATGGATAAGGGCCGAGAGTTTATCCATCTCCGTGGATTCTTTTGTTTTGTGGATCACTGTCCCTAGGGTGGGTATATTTTGGTTGCCCCATTGTTCCGCTATTGTGCATCTAGTGGCCAGTGTGATTTTCGTGAGTAGTTTGTTCTGAGATCTGATCAATGGAGCGTGGGGTTTCGAGAGCAGCCAAACCCACGGGTCCATAGGGATGTCTGTGTGTAAGATTTAAGATGTGAGGTCGGCCACGGCCATCCATAGTTTTGGATATGTGGGGGCATTCCCACCATTGGTGAATGTAAGTGCCTTGGACTCTGCAGCCCTTCCAGCATGCGTCTGTGTTGGAGCATCCC